TTGTTCCTTTGCCTCCCCCTCCGCACCTAAAATATTCTAGGCAGGTAGAAATCAGTCCTGCTTTTAAAGTGCTTCGAGAAGGGAATTATGATAGCAGGAACAGTACTTCTCAATCCAAAGAGTTCTTCTTAATCCGTGATTGAAACCCCCATTCCCGGGTTTCAGGATAAACTTTGTTGTATTAGGCTAGCATAAATGAGAAAATTAGACTTCAGACATTTTATTATTACTATAAAATGTCAAACCACTGCAGGCTCCCTGCGCTGTCTGTAGCTAGAGGCACTCTAAGAGAACAAAGTTACCATGACCTTAAAAGAACCACAGAGACATTAGGACCCAACCAGAGCCCTCCTCATTGATTCTCAGCTCATCCTTGGCAGAACCAAAGGCTCAGTTCCTCAACATCAACTGCATAGTAAACTGTCATTTCTAGAGTGTTTAAGTTAGACTCAAAGAAGAACTGCCTGCAGCAAATAGTTCTAATGCTTGAAATAAACAGATGAGAGAGGCTGTGAAATCATTTTCCTCCTAGGTCTTTTAAAGGCTATATATATATATATATATATATATATATATATATATATACATATTTTTTTTTTTCGGCAGGGGGATAAAACTGGTGGTTGCTCTCCTCCAATCCTGGGGTTCCAGGGAAGGTGGAGGAGGTTATTTTTTTCCCTTTTAAGGGGTTTCCTCTTTCATGAGAAGATGATTGGTGATAGGTGTTACCGGGCCACTGCAGTGGGTGGGTGAGGCTGCTCCACCTGCTGAATCAAGGGAGGCTGCCAGGAGGGGAGGAGAATGGCTGTAAGATGTCTAATGAAGGAAGCTTGGGAGGAAGCCTGGGGCTGGCTGGGGGAGGGCGTGGGAGAGGACTCCGTGGGGGCTGGCTGGCAGGCCACACCTGATCTGAGAGAGCCCAAGAGAACAGGTAGAAGTCGCCTCTGCTTCATAAGGATTTTTCTCTGGAAGCCACACCTGCCAGCTCCTCCTTCCTCCTGGTCCTTTAGGGATGAGGTCGGGGCCAGCAGCTAGAGTCCCTCGGGTTGCAGAGGGAGAACAGAATAGGGTGGGAGATGATCTCCTGAGGGGGGGGGGTCACTGAATCCCTTTCTTTCTTTCAAGGCTTTTTAAAATGAAAAGTTCCCTCTGCTTTGAGGTCCTCTGTCAGTCACAGTGGTAGATCTGATAGCCTTTGGAGATTTTTTTTGCCAGTTGGCATGTGACAAATAAGATCTGGGGGCCACCAAGAAACATCCTTTCAGGGAAGCGGTGCAGTGGAGTTGAGCTGGTGAAGGGCAGGAGCCTCGCAGGGGACTTTGTGCATAGTCAGGTTCTTCAGTGGGCAAAGCCAGAGAGAGGGACCTGGGGGAGCTTGAGGAACCATCGCCGTCCCTGGAGGGTCCTTGATGTCCACCTCAGACCTCAGAACTAGAGTGTGGAAGCCCTTGCCTCTTTGGGGAGTGGTGGGAACAGAGGTGGTCTAAGGACTTGGACTGGAACTGGAAAGACAATGTTTCTTTGATTTCTTTCTCTAGGGAGTTCTTTTTGGCATTGGAATTTTTGGGGATCACAGGAGAATCTACTTTCCACCAGGTATTTGAGGTGAATAGCCCCACACAGGAGGGGAAGCCTGCCTTCTAGCACATGAAGACCAAAAGACCAATCAGTCTACACCAGCTGAGAGTTCAACTGAATAAACTTTCTGCTGAGTCAAAGCAAAGGCCGCCCACCTCTGTCTGGCGGGGAGGATACTTCTGAGCGTGGACATCCAGCCCTGCCCAGCCTGGTTGGAGAGACAGGCCTCTCTCAGGTTGTCCTGAGCTGTCACTCCTCTGGGCAGCTCAAGCCCTTGCACATATTTCTCTTATTCATTGTTAACTCCAAATTCAAGCTATTTGCTTACTGATCTCTTTTCCCACTGGACTGACAACCCCAGTGGCAAGATGGGCAACTCATTTCTGGCTGTCTGACCAGTCCTTGCTTACCACCTGGTCATGGTAGACTGTGCAGTAAAGATGTGAATGAATGAATAGTAAAGGGCACTGGTGGTCTGAGCTAAATGCTTTCTGAGTAGGACAGACAGGGAGGTTGCAGCGATAAAGGTTGTGGGCTCCGTGGGACAGCCTCCTAGAAGACAGAACCATACCTCTTCCCATCTGCCTTGAAGCACTGAAACCTGCTTCCTTCCCTTAGGACAACTGAAATGGGCACTCTCCAGCATCCTTCTATCCTTCCTCCTGTGGTCCATTCACCTGCCTCGATCATCATCTGCTGGTCCTCCCAGGTTGTGTTGGAATGGGCTCACTTTGGCTTAGGATGGTAGCTGTGCTTCTTTTCCCAGCATGCCTCTCAATGGTACCTTGAGATTGGCCAGGGTGCAGAAATTCGAAAACACTAGAAACCAGTATTTTTTTTTTTCATCCTGGAAGAGCCAGTTGCTAAGCTTCCACTAGCACACACCTGCAATCCACTCCATTACCTACTGTGTATACACCTTTCTCTTTTCTCTCTCCTTCCTACTTATATTCCTTCCTCCCCCTTTCCCTCCATCTTTCCTTTCTTCTTTTTGTTCTATTATTTTATCCAATTCTCCATCTGTTTGTTTTCTTCCTTCCTTCCATCCATTCTCTCTCCACCCACTCATCCCTTACTACCTAACTCCTATCCATCATTCATCCGTTTCCATTCATATCCATCTAATTTTTATTTCTTCCTTCTGTCCATATGTCCATCTATCCATCTACACACAAGTGTTTTCTGGGCATCTTCTCTCTGTCAACTTATTCCTAAGGTTCAGAAAATTCATGGAGATTGCTGCATGGCAGGTACATGAACTCTAAGGTCTAGCAGAGGCCTGCCAGGCTCAGCCAGCATTGATATTGAATCTTTACCTGGACTCCTCTGGCCTTCTGTGTCTTCTTGTCCTCTCTTTTCTTTTATTCTTATAGTGTATTCTCCCAGGGTAAAGGACCTTCTCAGGGGAAGAGGGAGGTGCATGTCCCAACCCCAGACCAGAAGAATGCTTTGCTCTCTCCCTCCGGCTCCAGCTTCAGGCAAAAGCCCAGATTTTTTTTCCCCTTTTGGGGAAAAAACTCAGGGGTGCTTAACCACTGAGCCGCATTCCCAGCCCTTTTTACTTTTTATTTTGGGGCAGAGTCTTGCTAAGTTTCTTAGGGCCTTGCTAAGTTGCTGAAGCTGGCCTTGAACTTGTGATCCTCCTGCCTCAACTTCCCAAGCTGCTGAAATTATCCGCATGTACCACCAAGTCTGGCTAAGAGCTCAAGCTTTTTGAGAAAGGGATTCCTCATCCTAAAAGTTCCCATGAGATCTTACAGTTAATGAACAAGAGGGGGCTCCTGTGGAATCTGAGGACAGGAGCCTCAGGTAAAGGGGAACCCCTATCATGAAGTCAGCACTACCCACCCCTACACATACCTCCTCTTAACACTTGGCTACTTTGTGAGCTAACCTTGTCTCTGCCCTTGTTCCCAGGGCTGTTATTGCAAAGGATTAGCTGTCAAAGCCTGGTGAGCCAAGGGGCGGGGGCTCCTGGAGCCTGACCTAGATTGGAGAGGAAAGATGGGAAACCCACTCCCCTCCGCACAGCCCTGAACCTGCCACTCCAGCCACACCCACTGTCTGCTCCACCCTGACCAGCGCAGCCCAGAGAGGCATAGCCTTATATTGGGTGTATGTCGTGGGGTGGGGGGTGCGTGGGTGGGTGCTGGCTTCCCACAAAGTGACCAGGAGAGATGAGGGTCCCAGGATTTTTGTAGGATTCAGGGAGAGGAAGAAGTGGGATAGCTCTCACTTTTCTTCTGGAGAGTGCAGAATCATCTGAATCCCACACTGCACTGACCTCATTTTGCAGGATATTACCTATGGCTTGCCTGGGGAAGGTGGGAAGATTTTTCTGAGTCACACAACAAACTTACTGTGGAGAAAGGTGAGACTCAAGTGTTTTAGCCCGAAGGACCAAGCCACCTGGCTTGTGTTGCCTGTATTCCCTCCATTACTGTGTCTCTGGCCTTTAGATGTAAGCAAGTTCTGACATGCTCTGGTGAAATTCTTAAGGTCCATATGTATCTTGTTAGGGCCACCAGGATAAGAAAGACTTCAGAAACAATATTGTGGAGAGATATTTAGGTGGCTTCATGGTACCCAGGCTGAAGAAGGGACTTGAGAACCATAAAGGTCTTTGGTTCAATCCCAGCTCTGCCACTTGACTGACACCAATAAGTTGGCTTAGCTTCATTTTTCTCAACTACTCAAAAGGCGTGATGGAGCTGGGTACGGTGACACATGTCTGTATTCCCAGTGCTGTAATTTCAGCAACTTGGGTGGCTGAGGAAGGAGGATCACAACTTGGAGGCTAGTCTCAGCAATTTAGCCAGGCCCTAAACAACTTAGCAAGACCCTGTCTCAAAATGAAAAATAAAAAGGGCTGGGAATCTTGCCCAGTGATTAATGCTCTTAAGTTTAATCCCTGGTACCAAAAAAAAAAAAAAAAAAGGCACAGATTGAAGTGAAGCTTAAATAAATTCACATGTAAAGGACCTAGGACAGTGCCTGGAAGTTGGTAATAATAGGTGGCCACATCACTCCATATCCTAAAATCCAAATCAAATTGAAGCCATATCTCCCCGTAGGGTGAGAAGCATCTCCACTCTCCCCAGGTGGAGTCTGTCTCCTGTGAAATCCAGCCCCGCAAATTACAAGGCTATTTGGCTTGTGTGACCCAATTAACAGCCCTCTGTCCTGTGGCCCTCTGCAGACACCTCGGCTTCTGCCCCAGGGGCTGCTGGGCTCAGAAAATCCTGTCCACCTGAGGATAGAGGCTCCCGCTTCCCTGATGAGAAACAAATGCGTCACATAGAAGCAGCCCAACTGGTTGCTGAGTTGTGAAAAATAATTAAACTGGGGGAGAAAAAAAAAAAAAACACACTTCTTTAAAAAACCAGGTTAGGGATGAATGTGCAGGGCGTGGGCCTGAATAATTGGCGGAGCCACCGCCTCTCCCTGGCCCGTTGTGTCAGGCTGAGCCGCTCCTCCCCTCCGTCTGCAGCTCCTCCTCCGGGCAGGTGTGTCCCGGGCCCGCGGCTGCCTGCCCCACTCCCTGCAGAGACACCCGCTGAGAGGTCACCCACCGCAGTCCCAGCAAGCCAGACAGACCAGCTTGGTGATCTGCCATGGAAGCCGCAGATGCCTCCAGGAGCAATGGGTCGAGCCCTGAAGCTAGGGACGCCCGCAGCCCGTCGGGCCCCAATGGCAGCCTGGAGAACGGCACCAAGGTCGATGGCAAGGAGACGAAGACCGCCAACGGGCATGGGCACGGAGGGGAGGTGGCCGAGGGCAAGAGCCTGGGCAGCGCCCTGAAGGGGGAGGGAAAGAGCGCCCTGTTCTCCGGCAACGAGTGGCGGCGGCCCATCATTCAGTTCGTGGAGTCGGTGGATGACAAGGGTTCCAACTACTTCAGCATGGACTCTGCGGAAGGCAGGAGGTCGCCCTACGCGGGGCTCCAGCTGGGGGCCGCCAAGAAGCCGCCCGTCACCTTTTCGGAGAAGAAGTCCATCTTCTCGGAGCCCCGGAAGCCCTCGGTGTCCATCGTGGAGCCCGGGGAGGTCCGCAGGAACAGCTACCCGCGGGCCGACGGGAGCCTCCTGCGCTCCAAGTCGGGCTCCGAGGAGGTGCTGTGCGATTCCTGCATCGGCAACAAGCAGAAGGCCGTCAAGTCCTGCCTGGTGTGCCAGGCCTCCTTCTGCGAGCTGCACCTCAAGCCCCACCTGGAGGGCGCGGCCTTCCGCGACCACCAGCTGCTCGAGCCCATCCGGGACTTCGAGGCCCGCAAGTGCCCCCTGCACGGCAAGACCATGGAGCTCTTCTGCCAGACCGACCAGACCTGCATCTGCTACCTTTGTATGTTCCAGGAGCACAAGAACCACAGCACCGTGACGGTGGAAGAGGCCAAGGCCGAAAAAGAGGTAACTGAGTGCTGAGCTGTTTGCTGTCCCTCCAGACCTGGCCTCCCTCACCTGCCCTCTGACCTTGATCCTCCTGGGGCTTCCTAACTATGGGGGCTTAAGATCATTCCAGGCTTGGCCCTTTTAGAAAACATTTCTTTCCCCTCTGTACCTGCCGGCTGGGAATCAGAGGTGGCTCCCAACCAACTAAAGTTTTAGAAGGCAGGGGCATTTTTTTAGATAAGCCAAGAGAGGCTCAGAAAAGATTGCTTGACCAAGGTCATAGGTTACATTCAAGTCTAGGCAAAGAGTCAGACCTAATGGTGCAGAACTCTCTACTGGGCTCTGCCTGGCTAGGGTTATCTCTCCTTTTCCTCCTGTTCCTTCTCTTTCTCTCCCCTCCACCCCCTTCCCACCTGAGTAGGACTGGCCCCTGGGGAATAGGTCACAAGTGAAGGAAGATATTGGAAGGACCGAGTTTGGGGGCCACTAAATTGTCCCTTTGGGCTGGCTTCTGGTTTGCATTTGCAGGACAGTGGCTCCTTGTTCGGTGTGATTCCCTCCAGGTTCTTCACTTTGCTCCCAGCCTCCTTTATCCTTTGCTCAGCAGGGCTGACTGTGCTTTGTGTGTGGTTGCAGGTGGACATGCCTGTGCCTGTGGGTGGACGTTTCTGGATTTTGTATGGAGGTGGGGCGTAGGTAAATGCGTATGTGTTTTCTATGCATGTGGGTGTCTATGTGTGCATGTGGATGTTTGCACATATTTGTGTATGGGATACGTAATTGTTTTGCATGAATTCCATGTATGTGATTATGCGCTACTTCCATGAGGCAGAGCAGAGGCAAGTGGAGGCTTGTGTATGTGGCACACCTGGGGAAGATATTCTGTGCTGAGAGTCCAGCTGTGGCCATTGCTTCTTGCCCCACAGATGCTGAGCCCACCATCTGGCCCTCCTTACTGCAGGAGGACTCTATGGGGGGCCAATGCTGGCAACTCTGCATTCTCAAGAGTTTTTGTACCCCTCAGAATGAGGCAACACAGGGTCCCTCCCTGCCCAGCTTTTCTGACCAGTAACTTGCGATTATTCTCTCTCTCTCTACCTCCTGCTCATACCCCTGGGCAGGGAGGGATGAGACCGAGATGGGAACAGAATCAAAGATCCCTTCCAGAAACTTCATTTGGCCTCAAAAGAAGACATCCCCGCTCCCTCTGGTCCCTGCTTTGTACGGGGAGCTAGAGGTGGGACATGACCATGGAACCCATTCTCAAGGACCTTACTTGGAAAGTTGAAAAAGAACAAAAGGTAGTCACCTTCAGCCACAGAAGCAAAGACATTGCAGAACCTCAGACTGAGTTTTAGGAAATGTGACCAAATTCTAGTCCTGATTTTTATATCTAAGTAATGGTAGGACAGTGAATAAATCCTTTCCATTCTCTCAGCCTTGGCTTCTCTCTATGTGAAGCTGAGTGGTTGGGTTAGATTTCTCTGTGGAGCCTAGGATTCTTGGACAAGAATCAGGGTGACAAGAGGTACCCAGAACAAGGAGGTGCTCAGAAGACACAGGATCCAGGTTACCACTTCTATTGCAAGCAAATCACACTTACTGACCTGTTTTCTATGCAGGGTTGGCCCCAAATATCATCTGAAACAAAGGTGTCACCATTTAAGAACATCCAGAGTGCCTGTGGAAGAGGTGGGCAGGAGGGTTTGGGGTCTTGTTTCAAGTTCTGGTTCCAGGGGCCTCCATGATGTAGGTCAGGAGGCAGAGCTCAAACACACAACAGGACTGGGGAGCACCCTCCCAGTTACATAGTAGCAGCTGGGAGTAAACATGGAATGACAAAATAAACAATAAACAGAGGACAGAAAGCCAGGCCTCATGGAATTCTTGAAATCCCAATGCCTCCTCTTGCACCTTGTGGATAAGGACACAGGCCCAGAGAAACAAAGGACCTGTTCAAGATCCTGGTGGGAGGAAGAAGCCCCCTAAGTCTTCTTCCAATGTCTGAGAGCACCTCAGGGGAAGGGCATGGGGGCATGGAATTCAGGATGTGTGTGCTTTAGGAGAAAATGCCTGATCCTCTGACCAGGGCTGTGATGGGGATCTTTGGGCAGCCTGTGTGTATACACATGTGTGCACCTGAAGCACAGGGATATGCAGGCAGAGCAGGGATGAGAAGCCAGGGGACTAAGCTGAAGCCATTTGTCTAGACCTGGCTCTGCTGGAATGTTGGTGGGGGGTATAGCATAGAGCAGGGGTCTTGGGTCGATGGATCAGAGGGACTGAGTATGTCAATCCTGGCATCCTTGGGAGGCATCTCCTGCAGACCCAGACATCAGCCCACACACAGCTTCTTGCAAGGAGCCTGGGAAGAACCTGTTCTGCAGGCCTGTTGGTGAAGGCCAGGTGGGGTAACCCAGCCTAGCGTGGGTTAGTCGCTTAGAGCTGAAGATGACACCCATGGCTGCAAGTGCTCGCCTCCTGGGCCTTGGTTATCCCCAAACTCCATGCTCTGAAAAGATCACTTGGCTCTGTTTGTAGCAATAAGATGGTCTTTTCCCTGGTAGACCCATGTCACAATGTTTCCCCTCTCACCCCAAATATCACAAGGGGGTCCCATGATGTCAACTGGTCCACCCTCCAACTCTGGATATTTTCCAAGACAGGTTAATTAGTGAAATGAAAATGGATTAGGTATCTCCTTTCCTGTGTCGAATGTCCCTGCCATCTAGTCTAGTTCCCTCCTATGCAGCAGGCCAGGGTGTTAGGACCTGTCTTGGGGGGATGACAGGCTGTTCTGGAGGCACCGCCCCATCCAGCCTAGGTTCTGGGGTAACAATATCATCAGCATAGTAATACGCATGCCCATCACACCCAGCCAGTGTCACTTGGAGGGGCTCAGCCTGGGAGCTTCATCCAGTCTCCACTGCATGGCTTTGTTCAGTTCATTCCTTTCTCCATGCCCTGGACTTTATTTCTTATCTTTTTGCCCAACTCTTCCAGGAAGGCTGAGCTGACAGACTGCTGGGTTGCATGCCCCTTGTCTTTGAGTTTCTAGCTATACTGGTCTGGGCAGGCAAGCTCTTTGGACAGACAGTGGGGCTGAGATTTCAGATGAGGAGCCAGGCTATCGGCCAGGGTGCCCTGGACCCAGTCCCAGGAGATTTTCAGGGAGAAATGTCTGCTCTGGGAAGGGCACGAAACAGGAGGTGGGATGACCTGTCCAGATTCTGAGAGGAAACAACCAAATAAAAGATTTAGAGAGAGGAATCAGGAGCAAAGTGACCAACAGCTAGGCAGGTAGCAATTCAGTCTGTGTGGAGCACATCTGTGTGCTAGTGCTGAGCCTGGCGTGTGCGTGGTTACAAATGCCTGGTCTTGTGGGTGGGGAATTGTACCTATTTTATAGAAGAAACAGGTTTAAAGATGCTGAAAGACTTGTCAAGGCACAGTGTGGGAGAGGGTGAAGCTGGGATTTCTCGCCACCATTTTAAACCTTTTCTCCCCATAGAATTGGAAGGGTCTCCTTGAGATCACTGAGTTCAGTGGCTTCCAGGTGGCTGTCCTTGGGTTGGTATCACTTGATGACTTATTAAAACACAGATTAACAGGCTTTATCCCAGGACGTTCTGATTCAGGGAATTGGGGGCCTGGGGTCTGAATGTTAATCTATGATGTTTACACATCAGGGATTCTGATGTGCAGCCAGAGTGGGAATCAGAAATCTAGTCCAATGTCACGAGGAAACCAAGACCCAGGGAGCTGAGGTGACTTCTGAAAGGCCCCCCTGCTCATCTGCCAGGGGGAGCCCTTTCTTGGCCCAGCTTGTACTTCCTCTGTCCAGAGGCTCTGAGGAAGCACAAGGGACTGGGGGTGTCCAATCCAGCAGTTGCACTGATATCAGGCATTTGACATCTGAACGGAAACAGGGAAATCTACCCAGCATTTCAGATTCCTATCTGGATAATTACCATTTGTCTGGAAGTACAAATTTGGCAATTAACTAACTCACTTGGCAAATGTCACAGCCCACGGCCCATGAGGTTATTTCAGACTAGGGGAAGATCATGGTCTATCTCCCCTTCCCTGGGGGCCATGCAGGTACAACTGTCAAGGTGAGTATTTGGGTGTGCCAACACCTACCCAAAGGCCTGGTCCAGGCTGAGGCATTGCCAGACTCTTCCACTCCTCGAAGAATTTCAAGGTTGGGTGGACCACACAGGTGCCATCTCAGGTATGAGAGAGAGAGAGAGGGAGAGAGAGAGAGAGAGAGAGAGATATGCAACCCAGTGTGGGAGAGCGAAACAAAGGAAGCATTTAGGGACAGGCCTAGGCAGGGTGAAGGGGAAAAATCAGGGAGGAGTAGGAAGTAGGCAGGAGGGAGGTATGAGTAGGGGAGGGACTGTGGAGAGCTGAGGCCCTGTCAGACATCAGGGGCTTCAACTGCATTCTGTAGGGGGAGGATCAGGAGAGAGAAAACTGGGGCCTCGGGCAAAGGTATGGGGAGGAAAAGGGAGGTAATAAGAGAAGAGGTTGAATTGATGAAGTCCATGAGGTAGACTTAGTTTAGCAGGAATGAAGGAGGAAGGGCAATGTTCTAGAGGAGAACCTGGTACCACCACCTTTGGAATTGCCTCTGAAGGTCGAAGAATAGGATCTGAGACCTGTCATTGCCTTTTGACCTTACTGCTGCTTTCTTTCTGACTGTGAGGACTCAGACCTCGCCACTTTTGCAAAAGGGGGCTTTTACAGAATTAAAGAAAATTCCTGGGCTGGGAATGTAGCCCAGTGGTAGAGTGCATGTCCAGCATGCATGAGGCCCTGGGTTCAACCCAGTACCCTGAAAAAGAAGAAAATTCCTGGCACTTAGTATGTACTTAGTAATTAAAGTTCTTTTCCTTTCCTCGCCTAGAGTTGCAGGAGAACAAAGTATCTTTGGAAACTTCCCAGGTTCTATTACTTCCTGTATAGGATAAGTCTCAAAGAGCTAAACATACATGAAGTGCCTTCTTAGACATCCGTAGAGCTCTTACCCTGAGCCTTCCTCCTTGACAGGGTAGGACTCATCCCAGAGAAAGGATCATTCTAGCAGCATACAGATCCTGGTCCCAGGACCCTTTCAGAACCCTCTGTGCCCTGCAAGTCTGATCTTGCTGGCTGTGCTATGGGAGCCAGGCCCCTCCCAGCCAAGCCTGACTTCCCTAGTGCCCCAAAGAAAAGGAGGACCAGTCTCCTCTCCACCCTGGCCGATTCTTCCACCCACTGCTGCAGACAGCTCGTCTCCACTTCTGACCCTGCCCTTACACATGTCCAGACTAGCCACTTCTTCTCCTCCCCTCCCAGGCTGCTGGCAGATACTCCAGCTCTCAGACCTCAGCTAGCTGGCTGCCCTCTCCCCACCCTCTCTTACACAGGATGGACTCCCAGGGGGCTGACCTGTCTCTGCCTTTGCCCAGATGTTCTAGGCAGCACTGGACTCTCTGTGCCCTGGTCCCCTGTACTCCATCCCTCCTTTCTCTTTCCCTCCATGCTCACCTAAGTGAGACATTTTCTCACCTGTGGGCTGACCATACAGCTTCTATTAGGTGTTCCTTTGGCACAGCTGTTCACTCCTGACATTCAGCTCCTTAACCTTCACCTTCTCTAGTCAAACCTCCTCCCACGGGCAGTGCTTAGCCTACCCTCTTCCCCTCTTCTGACCTCTGTTCTGTTTCCCTAGTATCCTTCCACCGTCAGTTACTCATGATCTAACCCTTTATTTTGCATTTTCAGTCTAATGTCTTGACTTCCCGGCCTCTGTGTACCCCTTACACTGCTCTCTGTGCCTGGACTGTGTCCATACCACTTCTAAACCCCAATTCAATGACATACGCTGAAATCACCACCCAACACCCCTGAGACCTCACCTGACCACGTCGGCCCTCTCCCTTCACTTGCTTATGTCCCACAGACCTGCCCATCCCTCTGTCCTCATTCCTGCAATTATGGTGACAATAATGATGATGGGGACCATTGTTCAGTCAAGGCTTTCTCTGTGCCAGATGCTTTCTGGGATCTTCAGTCCCTGATCATCTTCCATCCCACATCCTCCATGGGAGGCAGGTCCTCTTACTACCTCCGTGGGACAGTTGGACCTACTGAGGCTCAGAGAAGTTAAGCAACTCACAAAAGCCCTTGCCTGTAGGTGGCGGTTACCAGATGCTAACTGTTGGATTCCCCATCATGTGCTCTGGGCAGGCTCCCTTCTGGATGCCCCACTCCCCAATAGCTCATTTCATGGAAGGGTGACCCATCCGCTTACTGGCAAAAGGGCTTTTACTGGGGTTGGGCCTGGGCCTGAGGGTGGGAAAGGGTGTGCTTTTGCTCTCTGTCACCAGCCCTTGTGAAGTGCTCCTCCTCCACATGCCAACTCCTCCATCCTTCAGGTTAGGATGCCTCAGCTGTGTGGTGGGAGTTTTGCAGCACTCCCCCACCTCAAGCCTCACTCAGGAGTTCTTCATGGATGGGAAAGTCGCCTGGGAAAGACCTGTTGTCCAGCCTCTTGGTCTCTTCCCTAGAGCCCAGATCTGCCACCCAGGCCTGGCCTTCTCAGGGTCTTGGCCACTGGATCTGCCAACCTGTTTTCTGGGCTTTCCAGCTCTGGATCCTCAGAGTGTCTGAGGATCAAGTTTCTACTACCACAGTGTCTTCTCCCAGCCTTGTTCCAGGGACCGGGCCAAGTCCCTACCCTCCTCTTCTTGTGCTCCTCTCCTCTCAACAACCCATCTCCATCTCTGGTAATGACATTTTCTATGCTGTGGGATCTACAGCCCGTCTTTGTCTTGATCATGGGGAGCCCAACAGTGTGGTGGTCGCTGAAGGGCAGGCTGTGGGGAGGCAGGGGCTCCCTGTCTGGGGAGCTCGGTACCTCATGCCCCATGCCTTCCACACCCTCTGGTGCCATTTCCTCAAAGGCCAGGAAGACCTAAGCACCATCAGATCCACTTCCCTGGGTGTTTTCAGCAGATACCCCACAGGCCCCTGCTCAGCCTGATGGGATGTTCAGAGGTGTGCTGTGTGGCGATGCTCTGGGCCCCGGCTGCTCATGACTCCTGCTGATGGAGCCCATGTTCCTCATGGTTTGTTGAACCTTGACTGTTCTCACGAGCTCCCCCGAGAGATGGCTAGAGAAAGAGGTAGGCCTCCGCATTCAAAACCCAGTGGTCCTGGAGACCCTGAGCAATCCGAGGCTTCTTGGCTGCTTGCTTATTGGGTAGAAATCACCCCTTGTCTTCCATGCTGGAAGGCACTTTGGAAGCACTAGAGGAGACCCAGAAGAACAAAAGAGGTGCCTCTTGACTAGACTGGTGGCCTTGGCCTTGACTTCTTGCCTCAGTTGGACATGCTTTTCCGAGAAGGGCCTTTCCCCACATGGAAGGCAAGTGTGGATATGAGCACATCCTGATAGAGACTCTTCCCAACCCACTCTACACCCCTACCATCCATGTGCCTGAGGGCAGGGGTCCTAGGTCCTCTCCCTCCATCCCAGCCTTTTCCACCCTTCGAGCCTCATTCTCTAGCCTTCTCCTCCTCCAGAGACCCCAGGTAAAAGTCCCTGTCTCACCCAAACTGCAGAATGTGTTCCTTCCCATAAACAGGTTTATAGCTGTGCCTGCCCAGACAGAGCCCAGGCCGGCGGCAACCCGGTTCCTGCTTGCAACACACACCCCACATCATGCCATAGAAACGTTGCACACAGTTACAGCCACAAGACACTCCCTGGCTGGGTTGGGCTCAGTTCTCTTCTTTTCTCCCTCTGTGGCCCCAGGTCCGTTGAAAGGAGCAAGAACCCCCAAAGTGAGCACCCTCCCACTCATGTTGGGTGCAGGGATAAGGGAGGTTTAGTCCCCACAAAGGCATGATGAGGGCAGCCAGCCCTAGTTACCTGAGAACAAGGAGATGGTGTTTGACCCTTGGTAACTGGCATGGAGTCTGGCATGGAGCCTGGCATGTCTGAGGTCCTGAGGGATGTTTGTTGGGCAGAGAAATGGATGCAAGTGAGCCCTGCCTGAGACTTGGATCCCTGGGTGGGCCCATGCCCTAGATCTCTGTGTCTGTGCCCCTTTCTTCTCAATTTCTCCAACCCTGACTCTTTTCCTGCAGACAGAGCTGTCACTGCAAAAGGAACAGCTGCAGCTGAAAATCATTGAGATTGAGGATGAAGCTGAAAAGTGGCAAAAGGAGAAGGACCGCATCAAGGTGAGCAGCCCCCAGGCTCCCTTCACCGCACTTGCCCTGCCTGTCCTGCCTGGGAGGAGGCAGGCCTTGGTTCCTGTTCAAGGTTTTGGCCCTCAGTGACATCCCACACTTGTTTGTTGTAGATTCTCTCCCTGACCCTTTTGCATTCCCACCTAGCACCCAGATAGGATCCCACCTGTCACCTAACACTCATTGTATATCATCTTAGCAGAGCACATCCCAGACCCACCCTCCAGTGTGTTGTCTAGTGTCTGCTAATGTGTGCTCTGCCCATCCCCCCAGACTCCCCAGCCACCAAATACACACCATTTCTCTTCTACTTGTGCCACTGTGACTGGAAGTATGTCTGCCACGGTTTGGGGATTTATAAATCATATCTGAAATCGTTGTCTCTTGATCCTGGCCACACCAACAGCCAGACAATACACTTTTTGATTTGGTGTTTTGTTCTGGTTGGGGTTTGAGTGAGCACACCTTGACTCTTGGGAGAATGTCTAGGCACACAGGGAATCACTCAAGTGTGGAATGGTTGCTTGGGTTAACCCCTGGCCCCCCAGAGGAAGGAGCCACAGGTGGATAAGGAAGGGTGGGCTGTAAAAACACTGGCTATCTCTGTCCCTCTTTGATGCCTTTAAATGAGATTCATAGCCAGACAGTCTCGCCAAGTTAGGGCTCTGGGAATGCCCTGATCCTGAGTTGAGAACCTAAGGGTGTGCTCCCCTAGGGAGGTAGTTTTCCTTAATGAAACTCTCATCCCTCCTCTGATTCTGGACCTAGAGCTTCACCACCAATGAGAAGGCTATCCTGGAGCAGAACTTCCGGGACCTGGTGCGTGACCTGGAGAAGCAGAAAGAGGAAGTGAGGGCTGCCCTGGAGCAGCGGGAGCAGGATGCTGTGGACCAAGTGAAGGTGATCGTGGATGCCCTGGACGAGAGGGCCAAGGTGCTTCATGAGGACAAGCAGATCCGGGAACAGCTTCATAGCATCAGCGACTCGGTGCTATTTCTGCAGGTGAAAACAGTCTTCCACCATTCAGTCCCTAAATCCCGCCATCCTCTCCCTTCTCATTCTATCCACTTTCCCACATCCTCATTAATCATCCTTCCATCCATCCATCCATGCTTCCTTCCATCTGCCCATTTAATTTTTCCACCCAATCTATTTCCCTACCTCCTCTAAAGATGGTACACAAACACCACCTTGTACCATCTTCAATTGATATGTCCTAGCAGTGCTCTGGGTTACAGTGGGAAGGAGTTCTGTGGTGGATTAGTAATGTCTGCCGTGGATAAGGGAGGAATGGTGTGAGTGCTGCATACTTGTTATCTTTGATCTAGTCAGTTTGGCTATTTATGCATCCATCTTTCTGTCTGCTAGAATGTTTTGTGCACTCCTTGATGCCCAGACTCTATTAGGTGTTGTGGTGAATAGAGAAGTATAAAACATGTTTTTCTGCCCCCAAGCAGCTGCAATCCAGCTGGGAAGATAAGACATGTACAATTAGGGAACAATATAGGAAAACATGTAATTAAATGATAAAGCATGTGGCTCAGGAGATAAGTGCCTGTGGAAACTCAGGGAAGGGTGAGCAGGCTGGAGCAATCTAAGGACAACTTTGTGCAGGAGAAGGAGTCTGAATAAGGTCTTGCAGGCCACTTAGAATTTGAGAAGGAGGAGGGATTCTCCAGTGAGGGGAAGGGAGGGGAGAAGCACGAATGTGCAGAGGCAGGATGGAATGAGGCGTGTAAAGGTGGAAGGTCCCTGTCTCACCCAAACTGCAGACTGACCCAGAATGCTCTGGTAATTCCTTGCACTTCTTTCTGCTTTCTCCTGGAATCTCACTGTAGCCTGTGTCCCTCTCAAAAACCCCTGTGATGTAGGAATCCTGCACCCAGATTAGAGGTATAAACCATGGAGTCATATATCTGATTGCTAAAGCCATCAGGATGTTAGCATCTGTGGACTTTTTTTTTTTTTTTTTTAAGTACCAGGGATTGAACCCAGGGAAGCTTAACCATTGAGCCACATCCAAGTCCCTTTTCAATATTTTATTATCAGGATCTTGCTGAGTCGCTTAGGGCCTCGCTAAATTGCTGAGGTTGGCTTTGAACACGTGATCTTCCTACCTCAGCCTCCTGAACTGCTGCTATTACAGGTGTGCACACCACTGCACCCAGCTGCATCTGTAGATTTTAATTGAACTTTTGCCTAGTGAGAAAAAGTGAGGCTAGTTAATTAGCTGATTTTAGAACCCAGCTCCTCTGGCTCCCAGCACTGAGTCTTCCAGCTGGGCTATAAGAGCCCCCTTGTTGACAAAAGATCCAGAAAAACTCAGGAAACTAATGGCTTCTTTCCTTTCTTGGTAGGAATTTGGTGCTTTGATGAGCAATTACTCTCTCCCCCCACCTCTACCCACCTATCATGTCCTGCTGGAGGGAGAGGGCCTGGGGCAGTCACTGGGCAACTTCAAGGATGACCTGCTCAACGTGTGCATGCGCCATGTTGAGAAGATGTGCAAGGCTGATTTGAGCCGTAACTTCATTGAGAGGAACCACATGGAGAACGGTAGGTCCCATCTGTGTGGAGGCCCAAGGTCATGAGCTTTTCCCTCCCAGGTCAGTTCCTGCCTCCTGGTGCAGGTTGGCACCTAGCTAGCTGGCCCCTCATGGTTTTCATCCACCCATCCCTTTATGGGGATTTGAACTCAGGCTCAGGGATTCTAATCCCCATTGAGTTTGCAGCTATTACAAGGGGTCTCCAGAGGAGGGTGATTCCTGGGCATTGGCTGAATAAGTGCCTCCTCTCTGTGGATCATTCTCAAACCTGGGGATTGGTTTCAGTCAGATCTACATCTGATTGTCCAGCCCAACCCAGCAGATGTGTGCATGCTGTTGCCGTGTGGGCTAGATGCCAAGCTGGTAGCTTTACAAACTCCAGCAGAAGTGACTTAGAACTGCACCTGTTCTTAGAGGGAGGACTTACCTGTCACCATGGCTGTGTTGAGTAGTGTTGAGCCCAGAGGCTGCACTTGGCCTGATAGGCTGGGGACGACAGGATATAGCCTGTCTCTGTGACTCAATGTGTCCCTGAAATCAGCACCTCTTCTGAATCATGCTATCCTTGCAGAGGTCAACTGAATCATCTCACAGACTCTCCAAACCTGAGAAACTACCCCTATTAAGTCTTTTTCTACCCAGTCCCTTTAGGGCCTGAAGCCTGAACACTTTCCCCAAGGACCCACCCAGTGGCCCAAGCCCAGCCCAGCTTTTAGAATGAGGTTTTCAGAATGCAGCCTGATTAAGATCTTCCACCCGTGCACACTAAAGGAAATAATCCCTGTCTATCCTAGATGGAGCTCAGGATTCTTGCAGGAGGAGAGGGGCTGAGTAGGTCACTGACCAGGGTCAGGAACAGGGACACCTATATATCTTGGTGATTTCACACAGCCTCCCTGTAAAATACAAAGGGACATTCAATTATACCTGAGGACAGATAAGACATTTTAGCAAGACAATCATTTGACTTTAAATGGCACTGACAGCCTCTTCCTCATGACAATAGCAGTGCTCCTGGTGGTGATAGAGATGGCAGAAGATGACTGAGCTCCCTGAAAGCCCGGGCATAGGGCTGAGCTCTTCACTTCTGTTGCTTTACGGTCCCCTTGTGGAGCATTGCATTTTACAGATGAGAAGGCTGAGACTCAGAGAAGCATGTTCTCAAAGTGCAGGTCGCTGGGCAGGGGTGCTATGCAGTCCCCTGGGTCTTCTCATCTGGAAGGTGTCATCGGTTGATGGGTGTGGTGATCATCGTCCCAGGGTTCAAACCTTGACAAGACCTGGGAAGATGGCCAGGCCCTTGCAGGAACCACCCAGCCTTCCAGTTGCTCACATCCCATTTCTAGGTCATGAAGGTGCTGGCCTGGTCCCTGTGCAGGTGTGACCCTGCATCCCCTACAAGGTCTGTGGTGAGGTGGCAGCCGAGAGCAAGGGGAGCTGCTGAATCAGCAGCTCTGCACCTGTGCCTGGAGTCACCCGGGGAGCCTCCTTTGCCTCTGTTGTTATTTTTGGTGTCTTCTGTAAGAGGTGGTGGATAGGAGGCTGGTGAGGTGAACTGTGGAGTGACTATCTACTGCTCCCTGATAGTAGACTCATTCCCACCCTCACAGACAGGGGGTAAGAGGCAGCAGGCCACCTTCATCCTGGGTCAGTGGGCAGGTGGCGGGGCTACCTTGTTGTGTATGCATTTATTCTTTTTTTTTTTTTTTTGGTTCCATGGATTGAACCCAGGGATGGTTAACCACAAAGCCATATCCCTAGCCCTTTTTTATTTTGAGACAGGGTCTCGCTAAGTTGTTTAGGGCCTCTCTTAAGTTGCTGACGCTGGCTTTGAACTTGTGATCCTCCTGCCTCAGCCTGCCGAGTTGCTGGGATCACAGGCATGTGCCACTGCATCTGGCTGCATTTATTCTTTGAACTACTGCTGAGTGCCAGGACCTGCTAGATGCAGGGGCTGGAGAGGAAGGATGTGTCTGAGCCACACTTCCCTTCTCTTGCCCAGGAGAGAGAGAAAGGGAAGGACAGAGAAAGTAGAAGAAAGGGAAGTAGTAGGAGACAGGAATGGGGTGGAGGACAGCTTGGAGAGGTGGAGCATCGAGCGGTAGATTTCTTTTGGTCAGAGTCTTCAGGTGGGTGCATCTAAGAGCTCAGCTGCCTTGATTCCTGGACCATGGAAGTCTTTACTGGGACCTTGATCCACCACCTGTGACTGCCAGGAGTGACTGGGGCTGAGCTGTGAAGTGGGGAATCAGGACTCAAACTCCATTGTTGCTCTTCTTGACCTATGTGACATGGGTCAATTTGCTTCTCTCATCTCTTGAGCCTTTTTTTCTTACCTGTCACAGAGAGAGGTTTATATACCTGCTCAAGGGTCAAAGTACAGACCAAATGAGAAATGGATATCATAGTCCCTTATAAACTGAAAGTACTGTGCACACGACCTTGCTCACAAGGGGACAGTCTAACAGAGTGAGTGACTCAAGGCAAGACTTCCCCTGCCCCACTCCAAAGACTGAAGAGCAGCACTCTGAGGCTGTGGGACCTTGATTGTCCCCAGCACAGAGCGGGTGGGCTATGGGTTCTCAGCCAGCCAGGCATGTCCCAGTGGGTCAGTTCCTCCTCTCCATTTTCTGACCTCTTTCTGCCCAGGTGGTGACCATCGCTACATCAACAACTACACAACCAGCTACGGGAGCGAGTGGAGTGCGCCCGACACCATGAAGAGATACTCCATGTACCTCACACCCAAGGGTAAGGACAAGCCTCCTTGGCCTAGGTCTGGCACCCCTCTTGCTTCTCAAGAGCCCCCCTGAGTCCATGGAGCAACTCTCAGCCAGGTTCCTCTTAGGTGGAGTGACACTACCTCCAACATGCCTGGGGAAGTCCTGGCTGTTGTCTTGGTGTGATTATGAACAGCACCTGCTTTCACCCTCACAAGTGACAAGTGTAAACTAACTAGATGACAAATTACCCAGCACCCTACTCCTCAGAGGGCTCCATCCCTGACCCAGGCAGCTTGTCCTGCCCCTGCCTCTCGCTCCCCTCTGCTGGGCTGGAGCTGTGTGGAGCTTCCACTTAGGTTTCTTAGGGCTCAGGCCCTGGGAGGGCTGCCTTCTCTGGGGCCTCCTCTGGGGTCAGCTGCTGCTTCTCCTCGTTCCTCACCTGGCCACTTGGCCCCTGAACCTTCTCTCCCTAGGTCCTGCAGAAGCCCAGCCTGCCGGGTTACAGTCTGGTGGGGTCTAGACCAGGGCCTCCCTGTCCTTGTCCTGGGAGAGCACTGGCACATTCTTGGACACCAACAACAAACCACAGCAATGCCTGTTACATAAAGGAGGGTGTGCCAGGCCATCAGCCCAGGATGGAGGGGGTTGTACACTTGCACATGTGGGACTGGGGGACCAGGAGAAGAGTGGGGACCTCTGGGAAGGGGACGAAGGAGACCTGGGGAAGGTGAACCCGAGGCTCTGAGCTGTCACTCACATACCTACAACAGGAGGGGCTGGGGATTTGGAGGAATGAGCTCACTGGAGAGGAACCTTTGTGCCCAGCCCAATTTGAAAACAATACCTGAGCTTCTTCCAGTGGCCAGGTGCCCAGTCCCCTCCTCAACATTCCTGGTGTGGGCCAGGCCTCCTAGCCAGTGTGCCCACTCCCCTTCCCAGGGCACTGCCTCTTTGGGCCAGTTGTGTGAGAGTATGAAATGCACTAACCAGACAACCCCAGTGTCACTTTCCTCGGAAGGACCCAATATGACTGTTGGGTGCCTGTGGCTCTCCCCCTTGTCCCTAGATCAGCCCTGTTGACCCAGCGAGTCCCCAAATGGCTCCTCCTTGACTATTTGCTCAGTGAGAGACTGAGGGCCAGTGTGACCTCCCTTCAGGCCACAAGGAGGGAAGAATCAACCTGCCTAGGTGTCACCTGGAGAGTCCCAGGGTCTGGGTGACCTGGGGTGGTCAGTGTTCCATCTGGCTTCAGCGTTCATGTCTGAGAAGATGCAGTTGCCCCCAGGGCTAGAAGCCCTCCCAGCTCTGCCCCTCTGAGTCAATCTGTGACATCTGTAGGTGGAAGAAACCGGTTCTCCCGGTATGCCTGTCCCAGCACAGTAAGCAGAGCCCTGCATTGGGGACAGGAGGGGCAGGACATCTGTCTTCTGGAGGGCTGGGTAGAGGAGATGCAAGGGAGAAGTCAAGGAGATTTGTCAATATCAGGGAAACAAGGCCACTTAAGGTCACCAGGCCCTGGGCCTGGGAGGTCCGGCAGTGCTGGGACTTCTCAGGAGAAGTGGGTCTGGTGGCTCCCTGAATGAGGAGCTGTGTGCCCAGGAGGAGGGTGCAGGGGATCCCCAGCACAGGTGCAGGAGTTTAGAAGGACTGGCTGGTGCTGGCCCTGGTGGGCCAGGCTTGGGGAGTGGAATGGGTGGACCCAACAGGAGGGTCCTGGCACACACACACGGGAGCTCATTTTCTGCATCTGGGAAGTGGGGATACTGATCCACTCTGTCTTGTTCATGGGCTGTAAGGCTCCCATAGCCTGGGGTAAGCCACAGTGCTGTGCTGGTACCAGATTACCTGGCCACCTGCTGGTGACTCAGCCCTCGCTCAGCCAGTGGCCCAGCTGCTCCTGTCATCACCAGGGCCTCTCCTTCCTCTCACGCACAGGGGACTGGCTCAGGAGGGAATTGTTGGCTTGTCAGCCTCCTCATGGCCCCCAGGCCACCTAAACAGAGTGATCCTATGTATTAGTATGTTCAGGACTCTCCAGGTGAACCCCAGTGCTCAGGGAACCTTGAGCCTCTTCACTCCCTAAGGGGTCTCCATTTAGATGGTAATTAAGTGACAGCCTAATGCTAGACCCAGTGACTCCTCTTAATGTGGAGTCCAGGTCCCTTGGTGGGCAGTTGGAGACCTGTTTAGGATCCTGCCCAAGACCCCAAATTAGAGTCTATGGCACTCCAAGTTGAGCCAGACCCACCTTTCTGCAATGACAAGCTTTCCTTGTATGCTTCATAGGGGGCGCCCGGACATCCTACCAGCCGGGGTCCCCCAGCCGCCTCTCCAAGGAGACCAATCAGAAGAATTTCAACAACCTTTATGGCACCAAAGGTAGGAGGGGCTCATCTCAAGGCTGGGCAGAACTCATGTGAGGTATAGGCGGAGGTGGGCTGGGGGCCAGGGCTGGGGTGGGGGCCAGGAGCTCCCAGGAAGATGAATGTGGGGAGCTGGGACAGGATGGGCTTCTACTGAGCTTGAAGTGTGTGTGTGTGTGTGTGTGTCTACACGTGGGTGTGCACAGGTGTACACAGCATCATTAGTTAGGCTGGAGAGAAGCTGCTGGAACCTCAGCATCACTGTAGATCCCTGGGTCCATGTGCTCTTCTTGTCCCTGAGGATGAGTTGGAGGAAACAGGGTGAGCGGCACCCCTGGGGTAAGGTCTGGGGACCTCTCCCAGCAAGTGTCTCTGCAGAAGACCTCTGCTGGTTTGTGTACTCCTGCACTGAGAAGTTGTATGTTGGTTAAAACAAATGAGCTTAGCTGTGGATGGAAAGGAAGGCATGGTAGGAAATGGAGCCACCCCTGCAAATCCAGGAGCCACCACTGTCACATGGGCTGAGCAGGAGATCCCTTAAGACCCAAAAGAGGTGAAATGGGGGCTGGGACATGCCTTCCCCTGGGGGAGGCGCCAAGCACAGGGTCTCCCTCTGTTTCGTGTGGTGAGAGGTCCACTATGTGCCAGGACAGGGCCATGTGCTCAGTAAACACCAGCTTTGGGAGACCCTGGCTCCTGGGTGCTGCCTACCATGTGTGGAGAGGAAGGGGACTAGGCCAGCTCCACCAGTTCTACCCAGACGCAATACCAACACTGGAAGGACACTTCAGTGATGACCAGGCCCATGGAGATTGGAGTGGACAGGGCATGCCCAGGCCTCTCTGTTCAGCATGAGATTCCCAGCTGGGACCCACCACGGCCCTCTCCTCCATATCTGCAATACGCAGCAGTGGTATCTGCCCTGCTCACAGCTGCAAGCTCAGGGCCCAGAGTGGAAGAGCCTAGAAAACAGTCATTGAAAGCCAGAGAGAGGGAAGGAAGAAGAAAAGGGCAAGTTCTCTGTCTCCCAGGGTCTTGGGCCATGAAGGCCTGGCACGGGAGCTTCCCAAGATCCTTGTGGGAAGGATGTGCACCAGGGAGGGCCCAGCCCCAGCACCTCTGACCACTGAGCCCAAATGGTATCCTTGTCCTCCCCCAGGCAGCTATGTCAGAGGACACAGGGACCGGTGGCCCCTGCTGCAGAGCAGAGCTGACTGGAGAGGCTCTGGGCCTACTGAGAAGGGGCTGGAGAGCGTTCGTCATGTCTGGGGCCCAAGTCCAGGCTGGGACATCCTCATGGTACCCTGCTGTTCCTCCCACCACCTCCCCACCACGTTCTCCTCTAGATGACAGGGACGTATTTGCACAGGAACATCTGTTAGCCTGTTCAACCTGGCAAACAGGAATCCAGGTGTTCTATCAGCTGCCTCTGTACCCAAGTTTCAGGATGTGTTGGAATGTGTTTATTCAGTCACTCATACATTCACCATCCACCAGACAGTGAGCACCTTTCAGAGGCCGGGCTCTGGGCCAGGCACCAGGTGTGGTTCAGGGCCAGTCAGGTATTTCCACAGGCCCCATGGAGCCCCATTGGGATTTAATTAAGTAATTGCATCCCAGAGGACAGGGAATGTAAGTGCTGTGAGGTGTAGGGCTGAGGCACACCCCGACTTGGTGGACTTGGTGGAGGTGGTGTGGATGCTCACACGTGAAGACTCACTCCATGATTTCACTTTGGGGAGGAGGCAGGAGAGAAAGTGAGGGATGCTGAGGGACAGAGAGGAGGGGATGCAGCCAGGAAGAGGGTAGGGTGGTGGGGGCCTGTTTAAAGGACTTGGCTCCTTATTCTGAGGACAGTGGCCTTTAGGTAGGGCAGGACCATTTTAAGTTTTAAAAAGATAACTTTGATGGAAAAATGGGGGAAGGCATGACTAGGGACATCAGCATCCTGTCTTGGGAGGTGGCAAGAGGCTGGAGAGACTCACAGAATCAGCAGTGGCCTGGTCTTGCTCTCCCTCCTCTGTGCCCCGCTGAGGTCTGATGCCTCTCTTTGCCTCGCCAGGTAACTACACCTCCCGGGTCTGGGAGTACTCCTCCAGCATTCAGAGTTCCGATGACCTGCCCGCAGTCCAGGGCAGCTCCTCCTTCTCCCTGAAAGGTGAGCCCTCCAGCTGGTCGCCTGCTGTTCCTCTGCAGCTGTCCTGCTTGTCTTTGCCCGCTCTCCTGCCTTCCTCCCTCGCCTTCTGGAGACCAGAGTCCTGGCCAGAAACAAAACAAAACAAAACGGCCAAAAGCTTTGCTGTAAGGAGGGCAGAAGATGGGGCTGGGCCACACCAGCATTCTCAGGGTTCCTTGCGTCATACACTCGTCCCTCAAGATGTGCTGTGACAAGAGGACTCAGGTGGGGGAAGGATGACTCCTCAGTACTCTTGTGCCCTGCCCCCATGGGCCATGAGCCCAGGATACTAGAGCTTAGGGCAGGGTCTTCCTGCTGCAGAGATGATTTAACTTTGTGGGCCCAGTGACTCCCAGGCCCCTGGGCCATGGCGCACCCTCGGTATCCTACAGAGCCAGTCCAGAGGGAGCCACTCTGGAGAAGGTGGGTCAGATGCCTGCGAGGCCTCCCAGGTGTGATCTCTTTCCCCTGAACTCTGACACCCCCTGCCTATTGTGCTCCCCAGAATTCTTGGGCCAGCCTGAGGGATTGGTGTCTCCCGCCCCCTAGAGGGTTGGGGTCATCTTGAGGGGCAGACTTGAACCAGACCCTGGTTTACAGAAGGCCTAGGGCCCTCCCGTCTCTCCTGTTAGGTCCTAGGGTCAGCTCTGGTGGGCTGTGGTGAGAGTACCCCAACTCCTCTGACACCCAAATTACTGGCCTGGAAGAAAGGATCAGCAGTCCGGGGGTGGGCAGAGAGCAGGAGGGAAGGGGCTGTGAGACAGTCACTCATCAGCGAGGCCTCTAGGGTGGCTTTATCACCCAGCAGTCTCTTCCAGGCTAGTCCAGCCCATACCTGGAGCAGGGTTCTTGGCTGAACCAGCCAGGTGGAGGAGAAAGGAACAGAAAGGAGGGCATGTCCTGTCTCTGAGCTTGGCCTGGGCGGCTCTGGGGCTCGTCTTGACCAGCAGACATCTTCCTTGCTTTCGGTCAAGCCTGGCCTGAAGGTCACCTGGCCCGGAAGACAGCCACCCTTGGGCATGGTTTGGATGCCTCCTGACATCGCCCCATGGGCCTGCACAGACTCTCCTGTCTCAGGCCTGGTCCTGGGAGGGACTCCCATGCCTCGGAGGATGAGCCCAGAACATTCCTACTTTCATGCAGATCAGTTTGTGGAGCCCTTCAGGAATGGCCCTCAAGAGGGTTCCAGATAGGTGCTGCCCTGTGTGCCAGGAGAGCCCCAACCTGCCAGGACCCAGCCCATCCACTCTCTGTCAGCAGCCCACAGGTGGGGACAGTGCCTGGGCTGTCTGCGGGCTCCAGGGCCTGAGAAAGGGCTGCCAAGCACAGAGCGTGCAGAATAGATCCGGCAGGGAGTGAGGGCTTCCGACCTGCTGGCCAGTGCTTGCCACTAACACCTCTCTCTCTCCCAGCAGGCACTGGGAAAACCCCCTATCAGTTCACCACCTTGGGACAGGCCACTGCCGAGTTTTCCAAGCCACTGGACCGCAGTGGGCTGTTTAAAAATAATCCTGGTACCTGCCCGTTTTCCAACCCTTCCTTTTCCCTCTCTCATACCAGGGCAGCTGGGCACAGGCATGACCAGAACCTTGTGGGGGTTCTCTGACACTTCTAGGGTGCCCTGGTCCCTCCTCCCCAGAGGGATGCATGTCCCCAGCTACCACCCTCACTCACTCTCTATCTGGATTTCTACCACTGCTCAAGGTTGCTTCCCTGGGCCACCCCTCCCTGCCCAGCCCCATCCTCCCCCTTTCTTTCTGGTTATTGGGAGGTGAGGTGTGAATCCTCCTCTCTCAATCTCCACTCAGGACCCTGGGGTCCTGGCTCTGTCTCCTTGCCCTGCCACCTTGCTCAGTGTCATGGGGAAGTGCTGCAGGTGATCTGGGCCTGGCCTGCTCATCTTGGTGCAGAGTAGGGCAGGAGAAGGCTGTCCCCAGGGGGGCAGGCACAGTCTTGCTGGACAGGGGACTGTCCAAGGACAAACCCCGTTTATTTCCTGAGCTTCTCAGCATCCAAGTCACAGCCTATTTTTTCCCCAGACGGTGTCCTGTCCCTGCAGGCTGATGGCCAAGGCTGAGAGTGCTTTTCCCTGTTCTGAGGACCAGCGCTCCTTACAGATCCCCTGGACTGAGGGGAAGGGCAAGGAAAGTGGCTGCTGGGCCTGGGGCTGGCACCTTCTGATCAAGCCCAGGCAGTGCCACCTGCTCTGGTCCTCTCTTGGCCTGCTGTCCTAACCCTGGGGGGCAGCCACCCTGGAAACTCACTGCCATTCTGTGGGCCCCAGTCTCCTGCTAGAGGCCGTGGAGCGGTGGAGCCTGGTGGAAGGAGCAGGCATAAGGGTTTTGGAGTTTGGCAAAATCTGATTTCCAGTCCTGACCGCTGCTTGCCCGCTGGGCGAGTCAGGCACACTGCTGAGCTCCCGGACACAGGGAGGGCTGAATGAGGAGCCCGCTGCAAGCCAAGTGCCTGGCTCGGTGCTTGGCACAAGTGGGGCTTGGCAAAGAGGAAGCCTCGTATCCTCCCAGCACTGGGGAGTCCGGAGCGCCTCCTGCAGGAAGGTTCTGCAGGCAGTGCTATGGGCTGGGGGTGGGGCGGGGAGGGGCCATGGTGTGAGCCATGTGGGTGGGTGGAAATCCCTGCAGGGCAGTGTGGTGCTGACCTGGCTGGGGCCACCTCGCCTGCTGCTTGGCAGGCTCCTCCTCTGCCTGCCTCCCTGCTTCCTCCTTTGGCTGGCCTCCCCAGGTTTTCAGTTGTCAGTGGCAGTGCCAGGCTGCTGCACACCTCTTCAGGTGGCCGTCTTGGGTAAGGGGCTGGATGGCGCTTGGTGGTCCTAGAGATAGCAGCTGTGCTGCTCCACTACCAGCCGGTCCTGCCTCTGACGGAGCCTCCTGTCTTCCCAGGCTATCCCTCCCTCATCCGCAGCCAGACCCCTAAGGCCCAGCCCCAGACCTGGAAATCCGGCAAGCAGTCTGTGCTGGTGAGTAAGATGCTGCCAGGGGACCAGCTGGGCACAGGCATGACCAGAAGCCTGGGCATGGAAGGGGTTTCCCAGGGCCACTGGTCTTCATGTCCCAGGGTCTGTGGGAGGAGGAGGCCTTTTCTGGGCCATGCATGGGGGAGGAGGCAGCAGTGGCCATAACACCCATAGAGATCCAGGGCTTATGGGGAGGGAGTTGGGTAAGCACATTCTGTCTGGGCCTCAGTTTTCTAATCTGTGAAGTGGGCCACCTGGTTCTTTATTCGGTGAGTGACTGTTGGATTCTGCACTTGGTGGCTCATCCTCCACCAGCTCTGAGACTGTAAAAGTCTCCTCCAAAGGATAGGCCTGGAGATGGGTCCCACCTCTCTGGGGCACTTTTCCAGCTCTGACAGCACAGAGGCCATTGGGATGATAATGTGGGGGAGATGGCGTGGGAGAGGCTGGGATGCTAGGAAGAGGCGTATTGGGGGTTCAGTAGAACATGATCCTAAGCCAGGCCATCAGAAGAGCAGCACCGCGAGGGCTCCAGGCCACCCCGGCCCTGGCATCTTGGAGGAGTGGGAAAACCTCTGTGGGGTTAGTGATCCCCTCGGCCCCTTAGACCTCATGTGCCCGAGCCTTGCCCAGGACCTCGGGGGTCAGGGACTCCCAGGCTGCTCTCCAGCTTCCTGAAGCTTTTCTCTGAGGCCCACACCAGGCCCTGCTGAGGAGCCGCCGATGGCTCTGCCGTGCGGATAGCATCAGGGGTTTGCTGGGAACAGGCCTGAGCCCTGGGCTCCTGCCATCTTTGCATTTGGAACATGGGGAGGTGACGCGCTCTGGACCACAAAGAGTGTCTGGGGCTGGTTTAATTGGAAACAAACTTTAATTTGCTGGTGATGGGAGTTAAGTGATCGCGTGTGTAATTTGGAGCTGGGCCCCGGGGCACCACAGCAGCGGCGCTGCAAAAACAGATAGGAGAGGAAAAGAAGCCTCCTCCTCTGGGACTCGGCCCTTGGCCTCCCTGCCACATTCCTCCTACCTTCCCAGAGCCTGGTCCCTGCAGAGAAAGGGCATCACCACATGAGACTCTGGCAGGACAGGGTCCCAGTGTCCAGCGAGCTCTCAGGGCTGGGAGAAGGGGGCCAGGTGCTAGCAGGCAGAGGCTGGCCTCAGCCCCAGTCCTCTTGCCAACCTGCTGTGTGACCTTGTATGAGTCATTCTCCCCTGTGCCTCAGTTTCTCTACCTGAAACAGGAATCAGATGGCTTGGATGATTTCATGCCCTTCTAACTCTCCGGAGCTAGGCCCCTGAGCCAGGCAGGAATGGAGAGAGGGCACCTGTGGGTGTCACGGGGCCACATTCCTGCTCACCCACCACTCCAGGCTCTTAAGACGGTGCTGTTCACTGACCTGCAGTCCACGTTACGGACCTGGCCTTCCTGAAGGAAAGGCTTCTGCCATGCCCAGCGCCACTCACTTCACCTTGTGAACCGTTTGGGGGTCCAGGCCAGCATGGGGGTAGTTAGAGACCTGTTCCCAGCTCTGCTTTGAGCCCTGCAGAGTAGCCATGTGACTTTGTCTCCCTGGGTCTCAGTTTCTTCCATTGGTAACCAGTGGTTTAGCCGAGGTCTGAGCTCTGACGCTCAGGCCTGCACCCTCTGGGCCTAGTCCAGCTGCGGACCAAGTGCAGGCAGGGTGCTGGCTGGAGGGGCAGGGCCAGGGCAGGCAGGGCCAGGCGGGGGCTGAGAACAGCCTGGGGGGTGTGGGAGGGTGGTGTCTTCTGTATGGGGGTCAGTGGGCAGGGCAAGCTCAGTCTCTGACCCAGCTCAGGGACAAGCCCACTTCCTGAGACCTCTAGGGGGACAGTTCACATGGCCAAGCAACAGCTAAATTTTGCTTTTGCATTTCATCCTGAAAGACCAGCTAAATTCTCAGGACCTGGAAAAGGGGTTAGGAGGAGAGGGGGACACTGCTTGGTACAAGTCGCAATACACAGAGAAGACTGGGAGAGATGTCGCTGGCAGTGTCCCGAGAAGACGCTCCCTGAATACCTCTGAGGGAGGCAACAGGGCTGTGGGGAGCCCAGGGCTGTGGGGCCCAGGCCCACGGGGAGCAGGTGCAGTTGTTTGCCTGTCTGCACCTTCTTTGTTGGGGACAAGCAGATGCTTGAAGTCCTTGAGACTCAAGAAGCGATATGGAAGCCTGGGGGTGGGAGGTGGGGTGGACTCTGAGCCACGCTGCTGGGGCGTCAGTCCTGGATCCCTTACTCACCTGCTGAGTGACCTTGGGCAAGTTGCCTAGCCTCTCTGTGCCTTGGTTTGCTCGACTATAAAGTGGATACGATAACAGTAACCTATTTAATTGGGTGGTTGTAAAAATTAAACGAGTTCGTCCATATAAAACCCTCAGCACAGTGTTGTTGGGCTTTATGGAGTGGAAGGCACCACAACCTTGGTGCGGGCGGAGGCTGCAGCGCATCAGCCATCTGGCAGGAGTGAACTCCAGTTAGGATCCGAGCTCACAGATTCTGGTGACAGTAGGGGCCCCCTGAGTAGATAGATCTCATGGGTCTGGCCACGGGGCCCCTGGACTTGTTGGGGTTTGGGCCATTGCTGTTTCCAGGGGGCCGGGCGTGGGGAGGGCTGGCCGGCGGGCTCGGGGCCGTCAGCTTCCCTAACCTCTCTGTCTCCCCACAGTCTCACTACCGGCCGTTCTACGTCAACAAAGGCAACGCGATGGGCTCTAACGAGGCCCCCTGAGCTCCGGCACGAGGGATGAGGCACTGCCACCCCTGCCCTCTCCGCTGCTCCTGCTGTTCCTGCCTTCTAAGCCACTGTGCTCTTCCGGGTGGTGGCCTGGCCCTTCCCTGCTGCCCCGGCCCCCTGCCAGCCCTCTCAGGACTTCACCCAGGCCCCGTCTTGCTTGGTGACTTTGGGTGGGCCCCTTGTTCCTATGCCGAGGCCAACCCACCACAGGGGGAGAACAGGGTCACTCTCTCTCCGACCCACCACCCTTCTCCTCTGGGGTGGGGTCACCGAGGCCCACGGGGTATCAGCCTGCCCTCCTGCCCAGGCCCCGTGGTCTCCAGGCCTCTTCCACCTGGTGCCTGGTGAAGCAGCTGCCTCCCTCCCATCCCCAAAGACCTGCCTTCTTTCCAGCAGGTTGGCCCTGAGAGGAGAGGGCTTTTGTGTTGAGAGGCCCCTGTGTCCTCTGGGGTCCTACCAACAGCCCCCACCCTGGAAGAAACTACAGGCGTGGCCACAGAGAGGCCACTGTCTTGGTCTCACCCAAGACAGGGTGGGCCATGGGTCTGTGCCATATCCACTTTGAGTCTGGGTCCGCAGAGGGTGAGCAGGTTGACTGTAGCCAAGAGAGTTCTCTCCTCCACCTGCCAGGATGAGCAATTCCCTGACGTGAGATAATCTACCCATGAAAATAGCTACTGGCCCGGCCGCGCCAGGGAAGTACCACTTACCTTAGAATCTCATTAACTTCTAATTGATGGTTCGCCCCGGCGATGGACAGCCAACTGGCTAGTAGCGGCCAGTGCTGTTTACCTTGCGTTGCCCCCAAGGGGAGCCTGCCTCTTCCCCTGACTGCCCTCTGTGTCACACGCCACGGGGCTCAGGGAGACAGACCAAATCAGGAGCAGCACGGCGGGGTTGTCTTTGACCCCAGTTCCAATGGGGGCTCGAGGTGGCCAGCTTGCAGGGGGTGGCAGACTTTCAGCTTGGGCTTTCCCCTCCCGAATAAACCGTTGTCACTCATTTCTCTTGTGTTGAATGACTGGCTCTCCAGGGTCCCTGGAGGGCTCCGAGTCTTTGGATATCTTCCCTCTTTCACCTTGAAGACGGGGCACGCTGGGGTCTCCCTCCACCCCTCTCCACCCCAGGCTGATTCTCTGGGGTGCAGGAGACTGGAACTTTCTGAAACAGGTCTTGATTGACATTAAGCACAAAGGGTGGGAGCCTGGGGATTCTGGCCAGCCTGCACCAGGTCCCCAGAGAGTCTTGGGGAGCCTGGAACCCAGAGCCCTCTGATGCTCAGATGCCAGAGGTAGAGGCCGATTGGAGACTCTGGACCTGGGGGCCTCCTCAGTGTGGGGAGGGCCTCCGAGGCAGGGGAGCCTGAGGACAGCTCCATCCTGGGCTTGGTGGAGGAGAGGCCTTTCAGTCCCTGGGAGGCCCAGAGAGGCCTGGAGGGGCAGTCAGGGCAGGCGTCCTGGAGGAGGTGTGTGAGCCAGGGGGTTAAAAGGATGCAGAAGCCACGGCCTTCTCTCTGACGTGGCCGGCGCACCGAGGCCCTCTCTGTCCTGGTCCTCACGCTGCACTAGGAGCAGCAGCCCCCAACCCTGGGAACAGGCCCACTGCTGCGGGTTCCCGAGGGGACCTGTCCCTCCTCCCTTTCCCAGTGCTGCTGGGCCCTGGAGGCTCTGGGTCCAAGCCAGGGGCCGGGATTCCCAGGGGGAGGCTCCTTGAAGCCAGAAAAGGGAGGGGGGAAAAGAACAGGAAGAGAGAGAAGAGGGGAGGGTTCAGCAGGCACAGGAGAGGGCCGGCCCCGGGAGGGGGGACCTCGGTGCTGCCGGGTGGAGATACGCCCACACAGTGGCCAGATCCAGTGGCCCATACAGTGGCTATGGCCACCCGGGGCTCCTCCCGTGGAAGCAGGGAGGACAGAGAGCTGCTGGGTTGGCTGCTGCTCCCTGCAGCCCCTGCCCAGGTGCTGGTCTTCCCAGCAGTGTCCTCTGAGGAGTGCCCCTTCAGGGCTCCAGCAGGGCCAGCTCACAGGTGTCATGGAGCCTCCTGGCCTTTAGGACCCGCAGTCCTTGTGGCTGTGACAGGGGAGGCCACGCTCTTGGGCCCCATGTTGCCTACACTCTGAGGCCCAGGGCCTCCTCTGGGCCCTGCCCTAAGCCCACCTGGCCCTGGTTGGGAAACCAGGTTGGGCTGATTCCCCAGGCTGAAAGTTGTGGGGGCAGCCGGGTGCCGCCTGACCTGGACCCGGGCCTCCTCCACCGACAGTGTGGAGGGTCCAAGATGGGAAGTCAGGAAGGCCACAGTGATTGGAGGCCCTGGCGCTCTGCTGGGAACTGGGAGGATGTCCCAAGCATCCCATTCCCAGTCAATCCCGGCGGGTTCCACAGCCCTCGGAGCTGTGCTTACACAGCAGTCAAAGAATTCTCTCTCCTGTTTTTAAGACTCTGCCCCCGGCAGTGAGGGTGAAGACAGGAGCCTTGGGCAGGTCCCAGGGCTGGGGCGGGGGGTGTGGGGGGTGGGGGTGGAGGCAGCTCTTCCCAGGAGGAAGGAGCGCAGCAAGACTCCATCACCACTGTGGGTGTGACCCAGACCCGGAGCAGAGGGCTGGCTTGTGCTCCCATTCCCTCTCCTTACCCAGCTCAAGGCTGTAAGCAGTTCTGGGCATGACATTGGCAGCCTGCTGGCAGACAAGGGAGGTGGGGGGTGGCCCTGTGCTCAGTAGCAAGCTCTGGTTGGATGGCTGGGAGACCTGAGTTTGCATCCTGGCTCTGTCACCTCTGGCTGTGTGATCTGAGCAAGCCACTTGCCCTCTCTGGTCCTGATCTACTTCATCTATAAGATGAAGTCTATTTACCAGATCATTTCTGGGGCTCTTTCCTAGCTCTCATAGTCTGTGAAATAGAGACAACAATGAGGGAATTGAAAGAGACTGGAAACTTGGGATAGGTCACAGACTGGAGCTCTGTGATCAGGACTGGGTCAGGCAGTTTGTACTCCCAGATCCCCTGGACTTCCTGCCCAGTCCAGTGGTCTGACTCTCCTTTAGACCTGACTTCAAAGATTCTGGTTCCAAGCCTTCTGGCCCAGAATGGAGGGAGGTTGGGGGACTCAGAATCTTCTAGTCTCTGCTCTGGTCCTCTTGGACCCCTGGATCTGGACTCTATTTTGTCCTAGAATGGTTCCCAGCTCTGGACGGGTCCCAGAAGCTGAGATGCAATTATCTGGGAGGAGGTGGTGGGAGAGGAGGGTGAGAGTAACAAAGGGGAGTCATGAAGGTGTCCAGTGAGGGGCGCCTAGGGCCCTCTTGGGGCCGAGACAAATTTCCAAGGGCAGCTGGTAGTCTGGAGCCAGACCACCAGCTGTGGCCCTTGTTGGCATCCTGGCTGTGCCACCCACCATCTATGTGACCTTGGCAGGCTGCCCAGCCTGTCTGAGTCTCCGTTGGGATAACAACTTAATGTTTTGAGCAACAAAACCAATGTGTGCAAATACCTGCAGAGCAAGTGCTCAGTAATAGAGAGGTCATATTATTATCATTAGTATTATTGTCAAATTAACAACAAAGCAACAGTGAAACAGCTCAAACTTGGAGGAAGCTTGAGTTTCCCATCTTTTTTAGCCTTCTGCACCTGAGGAGGGACAGGGTGAATGCAATCTGACTAGTTTCCCTTTCCCATGTCTTTCCCAGCCACAGAACCTGGGCCAGGGCTCCTGCAGTTCTGAATCATGACCAGCAGGTGGCAGCATTTTACCGTGGTTAATGGGCACTCTGCCTCCCTCCCCAGCCCCGGTGGTCAGCAGCACTGGGTTCCACAGCCCTAGCGCTAAGCCCCTTTCTTCTACTTCTAGACCCTTCCGTCCTAGACTGGAATGTGTGACCACAGGATGGCAGACCTCCAGTCTGAGCAGGAGTGAAGGGTGGGCTCCTGACCCCACCAGGGGTATGGAGGCCAAAGGTAGGACAGGGGGAAGGTCCCCTCTCTGTGGGCACCACCTTGGCTCTGTCTGCGGGGGGCTGGCCTGAGGACTGGTGGGGTGGGCATGCCCCGTTCATTTCTGCAGCCTCGTGACCCCTGCCTGTTTCTCCATCAAGCCCTCAAATCATCCCCCAAGAGTGACCCAGTCAATTTTATCTTTCTGAGTATTGACTATTAAGTTTGAAAATGAGCTGTTGTTCAGCCACATAAACGAGGGAGATAAACGCTAATTGCTTGGTGGATGTGCCAACTTCTGGTTCCTAATTCATCACCTTGCCAAAGCCGAGGCTAAGAACAGGCAAAGGGAGAGAAGAGATGGCTGGCAACCGGACCTCTGGGGCCAACAGACCCTCCTTCAAGAGAATGTGGCAGTGAGTGGGAGAGCCAGAAAGCCCCTCCCCAGGGGATGAGAGTGATTCCCCCGGGGTCTCCGACAGGGAGCTGGGTGAGGGAGGGATGGGAGGTCTTTGGCTGGGTTTATGGTTATCAGGAAAATAACCTCATATGGACAGGTTCCTCACTGGCCTGTGGTGGGCCTTTGGTACCAAACTCTAAATTTCTCTAGGTTTGGTCTCATTATTATGTTAAGACCCTCTGTGGGCTGAACTGATGGGCTGCAAACCCCATTCTTGATTGGCAGCTTGCAGGAGGTTGATCTGGCTGCGGAAGGTACAGCCCCAGAGCCTATGCCTGGGGCTCCCATGTTGGCCTAGGGATGAGGACTGACTAGATGACCCACACCCAGGTGAGACAGAGGAGCAGAGGGTCCTGTGGAGGAGCAGGACAGGAGCAGTGGGAGAGAAAAGACCTTGTTCTTTTCCAGATATGATGTTCCCTCTGCATCTGAGGTTCTGCATCCTGATGCAAACAACCGTGGATAAAAATACTAGAAATGGCGTCTGTACTGATCATGTAGACATTTTTCTTGTCAATATTCCCTAAACAATACAGTGTAACAACTAATTACAGAGCATTTACATTGTATTAGCTATAAGTAATCTAGAGATGATTTAAAGCCTACAGGAGGATGTGTGCAAATTTGACATCCTTTTATATAAAGAACTTGCACATCTATGGGTTTGGATATTCACGGGACAGAAGGAACCTGGACCCAATCCCCTGTGCACACCAAGGGTGACTGTATCTGTGTTGTGACAAGACATGGGGTGATAAGAAGCAGGGACGCAAGGTCCCCCCTCATCCCCTGGGGGAGGTGAGGGTGGATGGGCTGTGGGCTCCTCCAGGTGTGGGAAGCAGGAGCACTACACAGGGTGGTGGGAGCTGTGCTCTCTGAGGAGGGGACCGCTGTGCTGGAACTCATGCTGGGAAGATCTGGGGAGACCAGACTTGGAGTTGTCCCTGGGTGTGAGGAGGGCAGAGGCCAGCCCAGGAGCAGCAAGGTTAGGGCCCCATAACTTGGCTGCATAAAGAGCTGGGATCTGCAGGTGCCCTGACGGCTTCCTAGGCACAGGAAGGATCAGATCAGTGCTCTCAGAAAAGGGCTCAGGATGCACTGCAGTGGAGGTCTAGGAGGGTGGCTTGGGACATAGATTAGGGACTGACTGTGACAGGTGGAGGGATAGACAGACACAGAAGCAGGATACAGAGCTGAATCTCATGGTTTGGGAAATTCCTAGGGGCAGAGATCTGGTAGGCAGAGGAGGGGTCAGGTCCCAGCTGCGGGGGACACTAACACCAGGGAGGGGTGACTTCTGCTGTAGGCTCAGTGGGGAAGCAGAGACCTGACCCCAGAATTCACCCCTCCTCTATGACCATGTGAGAGGCAGCGTGCTCCCTTGGGCTGGAATCCTGACCCCGCCAGGCAGCATCTTGGTCCATGGCACAAGATATTTTTCTTCCTGATACTCAGTTTTCTCATCTGCAAAATGGGATTAATATTTGTGACCAAATTTCTTTCTTTCTTTCTTTCTTTTTGGTGAGGATTAAATGAAAGGAAGCAGGCGAAGGGTCACCACAGCGCCTGCACATTGTAATCACTTGGTAAACAGGAGCTTAATAACAGAGCAAGGCGGAGGGCTGGACTTTTCCTC